ATGACAGAGATGCCAAGAAAACGAATTGGCTCCTAAGTGGCATAAAAATATATCATATATAAAAGGAAATGATTACCCTAAATGCAACAGGACTTGAATTCAGTTCTGGGCATCATATTCAAGAAGGATGTTGACTTCCAGGACTGAATTCAGAGGACAGATAGAAGAAATACTGTCAAGAAGCAGTGTCATGTGTGCAAATGTTGAAAGCACTGGAAAAAATTTAGAAAGTTCCAAGGAAGCATGATCACACTCTGCAAACATTTCAAGAAGTCTCTTGGGAAGAACAATTTGTGTATATTCACAATAGAAAGACAGAATGAATGGGAGGATAATATAACCACTGAGTCAACTATAACTAAAGGGTAACCCCTATATTAGTGATGGGGGGAGGGAAATGTTACTGAGATAGAAGAAGCAATCAGTATCCAATGGGGCTTTTGAGCTGACCAAAAGACAAGATAATGCCTTTAAAAATAATACTCACCTTGCAGATTATGGGAGTACATAGTGAAGGAAAGATAACAATAACCTAGATTTTAGGAATTTGGAGAAGATATCAGAGTGGGGGGTTACAGGGAGAGTGTTTTATGGAGAAAGGGGGTATGGCATCTGAGTTGGACTTTGACGAATGAATCAGGTTACAAATACAGAGTGGTCAAGGAGCTTCCTAAAAGTTAAATCTTGATCAATTCTGATAGAACTGTAAAAAGATTACTGAAAATGCTCAGTGGACTCACTTAGGGTTTAAGAACACACAATAATTTGGTCTAATATATTCCTTATCAATTTTTGCATTCCTTATCCATCAGTTCTTATGGGATGTGATTCCTTTCCCATCTTTACTCACAACAGTACATGCACACGCACGTGCACATGCACACTGTTATACACTCACAAAAGAACAAATAAGATTTGTATAGAGGACTAGTCACTATCTTCTCCTTCATATGACTAAGTCAGAGAAGGAAGTAAAAATGGTCAAAGAATAGAGAGAACATGGGAGCCCCATGAATGAGGAGAAACAGCTTCTCCAGATTGCTCCAAGTCCTGAAGCAACTTCCACCATAACCTCAAATAATTTTCCTACTACATCCAGACTGAAAAACACACAGAAGAACAAATTTTGTCATTTATTCAGCATGGTATGGGTGAAAATGCTCAGGCCACAGTGTCAAACAAACTTTGTTTCCCATTCTTTCCCTGACATTTATCAGATGTATGAACTTGGGCAAAACAGCCTCCTCATGCTTCAATTTCTGCACCTATAAACTGTGACTAGCCACATTTGCAAGGACTGAAACAGTATTCACAAAATTTCCCCCAGTGCCTAGCACCTCTCTGGCAGCACTCACTCCTCACTTCCAGCTCCTGATAAGCTATGAAATAAATTGAAGGCAAACTTGAAGAACACAGACCAGAAAGAGTAAAACCTTTTCTGATAGGGGCTGTAAATCAAATCAAGCACAGCATTGCTAATTTCAAAGACTACCAACTTTTTATTGATGAAAACTTGAATCCAGATGGTATGGTTGTTCTGCTGTACTATTGTGAAGATGGTGTGACCCCATATATGGTTTTCTTTAATGATGGTTCAGAAGTGGGAAAACATTAACAAGTTTGATGATTACTCTGGATCTACCACTTGTCATCACAGCTGACTGTATCTACATACCACCAGGACAGATAAATGGAGCTGAAGTCATCTTGACCGCTTCAATTATTTTGACCTTGATTTACTTGAAGTGGAGGCATTGTTTTCAGGGGAAAAACATAGTAGGTAAGTTGTCTTAAAATAAAATGCATCTAAACTCATTTGAGAGATGGCCTTCTAGTTTAATAGCTATTTAATTCCACATTGCAATAGTGTTCTTGGAGAAGCCAGAGCCTGGTGGAAGACCACTACTAGAAAGCATAAGATTGTCTTCAGAAAACTTCTACAGATGACTTCTGCAACTGGAATATAAAAAAAACAAGAATCAAAAGTCTTAATTCTGAGTTGAACTGAGGGGAAAGACCATGTTTATAATAATATCTATTAATGGATTCCTTACAGATTTTATCACCTACAAACAGAAGTAGCCAACCCTGAAAGAGACAAAGTATAGAATAAGGAGACTAATACAGTTAAAAAACAAAACAAAACCTATAGATGTCTAGTACTAGACATTTTGACAGCTCAGGCACTTCTGTTCTTTGGAAATCACACTACTTCTTGAAAAAAAAAAAGATTCCCGCTTTGTTCTATGTCAAACATTAGGGAGAAGTTTTGAGGGCACTATGACCTCTTATTGGTAAAGGAGAGCCATACACTTGCCTAATTCAAAGAGAAATTATGCTGTAAGGTGTTTCGTTTTGTTAGAAGAGAAGGAAGGGGGGAGGAGGGAAAAGAGAGAACAGAAGCAGTATCAGTCAAAGGGATCAAATGATAAATCCTGTAGTATTTAAATTCAAATATATTAGAAGATTTATACCTACTGTATAATTTGAGGTTGAAAAAGAATGAAATATAACTAATGTACAACTTGCTATTGTTTTAAAAGACTCTTAAAGTGAACTCTCTTCGATCCCCATTTTAATGATATTGCTATAAAGGACCTTGCCTTAAATATTCACACTGCTCCTGAGGATGTCCTACACCATAACTGAGACACTTGGTCAACCAATGAAGGCCTCCTATAAACTGCTTTCAGCAGGTCTGACTGTCCTATGGTTATTGTCTCCATATGTCCAGCATTTCTTTGGAAGTTTATGGACCACTCTTTGCAGTGAATTCTGCAAGTCATGGAACAAGAAGCAAAACAGTGTGAACACATCTCTACTGTCATCAACTTATTCCAGAAGTTTCAGTTAGTTTACTGCCACTTCAATACACAAATAACTGAAATACTGTACCCCTGTCTTTCTGAGCAAAACAATGGCCCTTTCATGTCCCAAACAGTGATTTTAATGAAGCACCAATTAAAATTTAGGGGAAGTGTAAACTAAGGTAATCTGCTACCAAGCAGGAAATAGCCTTTACCTATCTGGTTCTAATTTTACTATGTCTAACAAAAGAGAAAGGAAAAAAGTTTAAACCTTGATGTTCATTTATTAAATACATCTAACAAAGGCAGAATTACATTTATCTTCCTAGCTAACAGAGAGAAGCCCTGTTTACTCCACTAACAAACCCTCAGTTTATTTGGAGCCTGAGTTCCATAAACCTATCACTTACTCATCACTGAAGTCACCCAGCAATGAATATCCACCTAATCAGCGCTTGGGTAGTCCAAACACTCCTCGAAATAGTTTTTCTCTCCCCTAAACAATGCACAGGCTATCACTAGAAATAATTCCCTGTTTTTCAATCCTTCCTTCCTTCTGTTTAGATAAGTACTTTGGGGCAATTGTTCTTGGTGTGATCTCTCTGAGATTGTTCTTATCCCTAAGTCTCACTACACCTTTAGAGAGAGCTTCAAGGTGATATATTCTGTCTAAAGACTGTGGTACATTTCTTCCCCATGCCTTTACTATAATAACCACTATACATGTTGACTGAGCTGCTTTCACCTTCAGCTTTTGGAAAACGTCCAAGGCAAGGTCTGTGTTTACGTCAGCAAGACAGATTCAAAACACCACCTCTGGGGTTTTAAACAGGCTTTGAAACACATTCCTGCACTCAGCTCAACTGGGGTCAGTAGGAGGCCTTCCAGTAAATCTGTTACTTCGCTTTGTCTTTCTACTTATTGCAGAGGGACACTGGTTTACTTTTAGCTCATCTTAAATTATTTTCTTATTTTTTCCTAAAATTTCTATCAGAACCTTGGCTACCAAGCAGGCTAACAGAGCCTTATATTATTATGCCCATTGTCTTCAGAAAGAATTCCTTATCTGTAAAATTTCTGCTTGCTTAGGTAAGGGAACTGTTGTTCTGTTTTCCATGTGATTTTTTTCTTCCTTTAGTAGCAGAAAAATAAAGTCCTTTGTTTATATTTTTAGATATAAACACAAATCTTATCTTGTTAAACTTTTCTTTGATTAGTACAGTTGCTACTCAATTAATCAGCTAGGATTTGTACAAGGAGGGAGAGCAGGGGACAATGGTTATTTGCAGAACTACAGGAGTTATCAAAACAAGTTTGTAGATTGTGAATAGATTGTGAATTTTGAAACAATTTCTACATATAATTACTTACAAGATTTAAAGTTAAAGATGGTCTCTGTTTTGTGATCATCATCAAAGCACAGAAGTACTACATTATTTTTTTTAGACAAATTAGAACATTACTGCCACATCCTACACATCAAGCTAGAAATTTATATCCTAATATAGACCTTGGTTTTGCTTACAACCCTCTAAAATCTGAGGTAAAACTAAGTGGTAATCATAATTATAATCCCTTATCTACCCCATACTATACAACCAAACAATAAATATTTAATTAAAAAGGCTCTCTTACCACAATCTCAAAGAAGGCTCAGTAGGGTGAAAGTAGACTAACTTTTATACAAAAATAATTAGTAAAGCAATTTAAAAGCAATATACTATGAACACAGTTGCAAAATACAATGATGATAGGACTTACAGTCTGAAGCAAATGATTCTAATTCACAGGAAACAAAATTCAAATAAACAACAAAATCACCCTCCCTAACAGTTCTCCTTACCTCAAAGGACAAGAGAAAGAATGAAAATAAAAGATAAATAGTCATTGTGGTTGATAACAGTGCTCCAAAAATTAAACATGAGAAGAGGTCAAACCACATTATGGAAAACATTCTGGGAAGACCTGTATTTGTATACCTTATTGTTGACCCTCTGCTTGTTATTAATCAGACTAACCACTGGCTTCTAGAGTACATTCTAACTCAGGTGCAGACTTCTAGAAATTACATAAAGAAGGAGCAGGAGGAGACTAGGACAAGATCAGAAGAAACAGATACAGTTTCACAGAAATTTCCAGGTTGAATATATTTCTGTACCGCAGGCATATTCACAGAACTCCCTCCCCACTCACCTGTCTTCTCTAGAATCAGGGCAACAAACACAGCCACTTCTAATTGGCGCCCTTTGTCCCAGCACTGAAAATAAGAGGAAAAGCTTGGTAGTCTGATCAAAGAAATACAGCAATTCCATTAAAGAGTGGAACGGCTTGCTTGGTTGCTTGGATAATGGAGTCTACCTCGATATATGTTTCTGAAAGTAGATAATTATCTGGAAAGATTGGATTAGAATTGGAACCAAGAGACCCCTAAGTCTTCACTTTTATCTATCACTGAAGATCCCATTTAAACTAGTCTTCCCAAATCAGCTACAGAGCTTATCTACTTTCCTTTTGTATTTAAGCTTAAGATACTCATATTCATTCATACCCCAACAAGATCTTTTTTGAAGGTTAAAAAATTAAAGTTCACTATCACTTAACAATATATACCTATAAACTACTAATAAAACTGTAAGGCCCACCTATACAGTCCCCTAAAAACATTTCTTTTTTAAAAAGCTGGAGCAACTATTTCTTCTCCTCTTTCTTCTTTTAAATAAAGAACCGATCTGCAGAAAGAAGTCTGTAGCCTAAATTATTGATTTGGGAAATGCTCAGAAACTTACCTTTTAGCAGGCTAAAAGTCTCAAGGATGATATTCTTAAGGGAGAAGCACAGAACACCTTTGAAGCCCTGTGTCCTCATGGTACAGAGGTGAGGGAGCCATCCTCCAGCCCACATTCACCTCCCCACACCTGCTGAGCCAGCCTCCACGCCAGCACAGGAGAACTGGCAGCCTCCAGCCCTGCAGGGGCCAGAGAAACAAAGGGCAGTGCAGTTTCTTGTCTAAGCACAGAAGGAATTCCCACTGCTTAGTGGCTATTTAAAGAGGTGCTGCCTCAGAGTCTTCCTGTTTGTGTCCCAGAGCACATTTTCATCCATTTCCTAAGGAAGACTGCAAAGTGTAATCAGTCTCAAGAAGACTGAGGTTTATAAAAACCCATGCAGTGTGCAAAGGCAATTTTTAGAAAGATTTTCCCTTTCCTTCCCTCCACTAGGCAAATAAGGGATTTTACTAAAAGTACTTTAAAAGGAAAAAGTAGTACCTATGGCTTGGCAAATGTCTTTATTCCTGAGAGATTCTTAACCTGAATGTAGAAAGTAAAGAATTGGTAGATGTTTAATCCAATATAAATTCAAGTTATAATGCAGAGGGGAAAAAACGTGTAACTTACAGTTAGAAGGCAAGAGTTTGATATGGAAAAACCTTTGTCATTTATTAGCTTCAAGTAAAAGTGTTCACCTGATCTCTCTGGGTCCCACCTAAGAAATTAATCCAATCTCTTGGGCTTCAGTTTCTTTGCGAGAATAATGAGACTAATAATACATATTTTACACGGGTATTATGAGACATGCCTTATATAACCCTATAAAAATCCCCATACTTTGCCCTACCTAACAGTCAGATCATGCTATCATTATGATATGGTGTACAATTTCCCAGCTCCTGTTCTATAATATCAGGCATTAGTAGCTGGACAAAAGAACTAATATATCTCCTCTCCCTAAAATTATATTATGGAGACATCTGCTTTTACATTGTCTAATTTCCCCCAATGGTACTGAGGTTGCAGAGGGGTCAGAGAGCTCACTGATAATGCTGATTTAACAACATTCCTAGTACTGAGCACAGCTCTTGGCATATACTAACGTGCAATAAATATTTGCTAAGTAATGAATAAATACATAATTTCAGACAAAATCAAGTACAGCATCTCTATACACAGTAAGTCTGCAACAAATACTCAATGGATTAGTAAATGAACACAACCTCTTTCTACAAACACCCCAGAGAAAATGCAATGTAATAGAACTTCAACCAAGCTGGCACTTTCGAAAACATGAGAGATAAATATGACTGTACATTTTGTAGAATCACCATATTCAAATATATGAAGACAGTTAATGTTTCGAAGAAGTGAAACTTCTTTGAGCATGGACATTATGCACAATATTTGATAGGAATTCACTAAAATGAGCTTCACTTAGTTTGGAATGTACCTAAAATCCTTCCATTAAAAATGGAAACTCTCTGTCCTCTGTTGTCTTTTAAGTCCTAGTTCGGTGGCAGTGGGATTTGATAAGGACTCATTGATTGCTTTTAAGAGCATTACCCAGACAAGAAGTCTAAGGAAGTGTGTTCCCATGTGGTTCTTATGAACCAACTACTAATGGTTAACATAACATAACAACATGGTGGGAAACAGGATAGTCTGAGGGATCTGAAACAATGGATTTAATTTGGAGCCTTCACGTTATTGCCTGAATCTAGTTCAGGTTAGTTCAAGTCACTAGAGACTGAAAATCAATTATTTGATGACTGCTCATCAATCCATAATGTGTAAGGAAGAAAGGGACTTTGGTGGACATTCGCCCACTTTATAAAATTACTGAGAGGAAAGATCCTGAATCTTAAGAGATCATGTGAAACATAATTTCCTTTTACTTCTAAGGATTCCTGTTGTTCTGCTTGAGAACTTCCACATCTCCCCTTCCCCTCTGCCCTCTCTCTCAGCTCACACTTTATTTTTATGCTTTATTTTTTATGCTTTTTTTTTTATTTTATCTTTTACATCATTGTGTAGTACCCATAAAATTCCCACCACCAATTCACCATGAACCATCACCATAGTCCCTTGTGCTCGTCTCTCCCATTTTGATCCCTTTTCCTCTCCCTTCCTCGCAGAATGTCTCTGATTAATGGCTGCCTGCTAATGTTGTTGTTATTACTATTTGTTTTCCTGATCCTTTATTTGGTTCCCCTATATTCCTTCTAGAAGTGAAACCATTCGTTATTTTTCCTTTTCCTTCTGGCTTATTTCGCTGAGCATAATCCCTTCTAGCTCCACCCATATTGTTGCGTATGGCATGAGTTTATCTTTTTTGATTGCTGAATAGTATTCCATTGGCGCTTTAAAGAAAGAACAAGAACCATCCTACTATGGCTCTTTCAGCAAGAGTTAAAAATGGAAAATAAAGGTTTCAAATGGCTTACTCAACAAAGACACTTTAGTTTCAATACATGAGGCAGTGTCTCACAATCACTGTACATGAAAGTTCAATAGCTTTTGGCCAATGAAAAAGAATCTCTAAAGAACAGATTCAATAAAAATAGAATTTTACTGCCTTTAACAAGTATCTCTTTATGTTTTTCTGAACTCAGTTTCAGACATTGTGATGATATCTGCCATATTCTTCCTCCTGCTCCTCCTCTTACACAGCTACCCCAGTGCTAGAGGCATTTTTAATTGAATAATTGAGATTCTGCAGAAGTCCTGAAATAAATTTTTGACATTTTCCAGCATGCAGACTCCCTCACCTTACAGGTAGACTCTGAAAAACCCCAGTCTACATGGAGCTTACCTACTTCAACTACTAGGGTATCAGACATGGCTAAAATGCCTATGAAAACATGCACATTTCACTCTGGGAGGGGAAGGGGAGCTGTGGAAACCATGATCTAAAATCCAGTTTTCTCCTCATTTACTGTGAAGACACTTCTTGGAAGCATCCACCCAGGAGCTCTGATGTCCTTACTTAAGGATGCCATGTGCCAACTAGCTGGTCCCTATAGAAGAGATTTACTGCCCCAGTTTCTGAAAGACTTAAAAATATCATGGAACACATTATCCCCAAATCTGCCATGACTAGATATGTACACTGAACAATAGAATAATGAATTTTTCCTTTTTGTCATCTGTTGTTTTATAGGACAGTTGATTTCCTGGCAGCAGGCTCTTGGAGCTATTATTAGATAGGAATACAGTAAGTAAAACAAAGTTACAATGAAAGATTAATCTTATTGATAAGGAAGTATATATTTTGATAGGAAGTTAATTCTAAGAGTTTAGGGTTATTTCTTTTCCTAAGTCAGAAATAAAGGAAATATTCCTCCTTTCTTTTCTCCCTCTCAGCTTGCTGTGGGCAAGGGTTTTACTGCTAGATGTTTTGAGTACATCGTTTCCATCACTGTCAATTTAAAAAATGGTACCTAGAGTGCAGGGCATGAAATGAGAAGGACATAGGCTCAAATTTTGACTCTGCCACTTCCACACTGTGTGATCTTGGACAAACATCTTAATCCCTCTAAGACTTGCTTTCTTCATTGGTAAACTACAAATTAGGCTAGTACCTGTCTCATAGGTTGTGGTGAAAATTAAATGAATTTAAGAATACTAATAATTTAATAGAATATTAAGTTCTTTAAGTTCTCCATAAACAATAGTCCTGCCAAAAAAAAATTAAAAAATATATTTAAGATGCCATGGACATGCAAAAGAGAAAGAAAATCCATTCATAAATAGAGGTACAGAACTGAAAATATACGAACTATTAAAAGTGATATCAGAAGAAGTAGAATCTACCCATATTTATTAAGGAAACTGAATTCATAACTAAGGCCCATCCACAAAGAAAACTCCAGGCCCAGACAATCTCACTGATGTGCTATCAGATAAATTAAGTATTAATGTGTATCAGGTATTAAGGATAAATCAATACCAAATTTACATGAAAAAAGAAGGAGCTACTCCCATTTAATTGTAAGATACTAGGATAACCCTAATATCAAAACCACATCAGACAGGACAAGAACAAAAACCTACAGACCAACATCATTCATGAACATAAACATGGGAATCCACAACAAAATATTAGGAAATCAAATCAAGTACCAGCTGATAACATCTTGTGTTCATCTGCCTAATACTGTAACAATGATCACTGTTGCATCATATTTTTTTCTTATGTTGCTATAACTCCTCTGTTGGAGATGAAGATATAAATTTCTATTGTTCATTTGGTTTGAACTCAGTAATACTGGCCCTCTTGGTTGAAAACATTGTCAAAATATATCAGGGGATAAAATAAAAAGGCTTAGGGGACACAGTAAGTACCTAACACTTCTACATTCACTAGTATCTAGCCCCCAGGTCAGAGTATAACATAACATGCAGTGAGTGCAGTAATTGTTTGCAGACTTGAACTGACAGGCGTAGAAATTATATTACAGTGAATTTTTTAATTAGCCATATTGAAAATATAGACAAACTGATGAAATAGGATGCAAAATGAACTTTCATGAATTCATGATTGATTTGAATTCCAAAGAAGGTTAGAAGCAGAATCTAATAGTCTCAGGTTGATGCAATTAGTCAGAAAACAGACTGCAGCCTCAGGAAGGTGGACCTCTAAGCTCCAGAAGACCGGTAATTCCAATGTTATGGCCATTTAGTCCTTGAGTGCAGTGAGGGGAGGAGACATCTTCCTCTGAACTCTCACTGCACTTTAAGTTCCTCTTAAGAATAAGCTATTCTTGTTGTCATTAAGAATAGTTTGAAGATAAAGATTTCACTTCTTTATCATGTTTGCATGCATGGTAGAAGTTTTACTATCGTTTTCAATTTTCCCTTAGCACAGTAGTAAACTTTGTTATTACAGAAAGTCAAATTTACTTTGTGACTAAGAGTCAAGATTAGCATTACTTTGATCCATTTTGAGTTAATTTTTGTGAGTGGTGTAAGATAGAAGTCCAACTTCATTGTTTAGTACATTTCTCCAGTTTATCCAGCACCATTTATTGAAGAGACTATTCTTCCCCCATTAGGTGCTCTTGGCTTATTTGTCAAATATTAGTTGATCATAAATGCAGGAGCTTAATTTGGGGTTCTCTATTATGTTTCACAGATCTATGTGTCTATTTTGTGACAGTACCAACATTTTTATGACTATAGCTCTGTAGTATAGAAATCAAAAAGTGTGATACCTACAATTTTGTTCTTTTTCTTCAGGGTTGCATAAGCCATTCAGGGTCTTTTATGGTTTCTTGTATTTGAAGAAGAATAATGTGAATGATGCCTTTGATATTTTTATGGCGATAGCATTGAATTGATAGATGACTTTGAATAGTACGAATATTTTAACAATATTAATTCTTCCAATCCATAAACAAAAGATGTCTACTTGTTTAGATCTTCACTTTCTTAAGACCTGATGCTGCAAAACTTCTAAAAGAAAAAATTGTAAGTATAAGACTCCTTGGGTCTCCCTGGTGGTGCAAGAGGTTAAACACAGCACTGTGAAGCTATCCTCAGCCTCCACAGCACAAGTTCAATCCCTGGCTGACAGGGAGCTACCCATATGGCGCAACAGACCTCTCCTGTGTCGCCCATTACTCCCCTCAGCAGTATACTTCAGTATACTTCAGCCTGTTCTATTCCCCACTTTGTCTCTGGTGAATCCTCTCACCCCCGGCACCTCTGGCCTATACCCCAGTTCTTGTAAGCATGAA